TTCTTCTGATGTACAGTTAGTCCTTCATGCAGAAAAAAAAATTACAGGAAACAAGAAAATATATACATAACACTGCTCACCATAGAGTGAGGCTGAATTATATCTGTTCTGCCAATTACCAGTTTTGTTGTATGAGTCAAATGAGATTTATTGTACAGAAGATCCCCTGGGAAGCTACCACTCCTCTAACCTTATTTAAGAATGGAAGAAATAAATCACTATCTAAACGAAATAGTGTTAGCTGGTCTGCCCGTCATGCTCACAATATATCACTGTCCTTCTTTTCTCTTAGCCTGTTCTGTATTGCATAGCCAAATTTTTTCTGCTACTTCAACTGAAACTGCAGGTTGAATTTCTAAATGCTCCTTCACCAGCTGAGAAAACTCAGAGCCAAAAAACCTGTTGTTGGTCAGTTGTTAAATTTTTCACTCAGTATATGTATGAAGGCTGGAGTGGTTTGTTGAGTTAGAGTGAGAGCAAATAGTGCCACCTGCTGGAATTACACTGGAAGGGGGGAGCGTGAATATGCCAAGAGCTCTCCATGGTTTTGTCCCATTCATTGCTTTAAGCCATTCAGATGAAGTCATGGGTCTGCTTTATTCAATAGTAATTTCTTCCACCTATATTCTCTTCTGATGTCAATATGCCACTTGTGTATTTCTCTTTGAGTATTTCTATTTTCTTCCTGTAATGATTCAGTATCTAAAATTACCATTAAGACTAGCTGTATTTCATTTTATTTCTCTTAGATTCTCTTGAAAAATTATAGAATGCTGCAATTTGAAAGAACCTTAGAGGAAATCTACTTCAGTAGTTTTAAACACATTTTGAACACAGAAACTTTTGGGACACCGTGGGTATAATCCTCACTTTAGACATCAAACTGAGGCCTGAAGAGTGAATGTAAAAAGACTGAACAGCCTAGGCTCTATATCAGTTAAGATGCTTTCAGCTATGATAAAAATGGCTTGAACAATAACGTAAAAGTATCTCATGTAAGAAATCCTAAGGTAGATGGCTTCAAATTAATTTAAAAGTTGAATAGACCAGGTGTAGGGGCTCATGTCTGTAATCCCAGCACATTGGGAGTCTGAGGTGGATGGATAGCTTGAGCCCACAAGTTCGAGAAGAGCCTCGGCAACATGTCAAAACCCCATCTCTACAAAAAAAAAAAAAAACACAAAAATTAGCTGGGCTTGGTGGTTTGCTCCTGTAGTCTCAGCTACCTGGGAGGCTGAGGTGGAGAATCATCTGAGCCCAGGAGGTCAAGGTTGCAGTCAGCTGTGATCACACTGCTGCACTCCAGCCTGGATGACAGAGCAAGACCCTGTCTCAAAAACTAAAACTAAAAATTTTTTTAAGTTGAACAATGTCAGCAATGACCCAGGCTCATCCCCTGTTCTCTCTGTCCTCTGTATCTCTGATACTTGTGAGACAGCTCCAGCAACATTAAGAACCACAACTTCCCACCTAATATTAAGGGGAAGAAAAGGGACTGCCTTTTCCTTACCAAAAGACTCCACTTATGTCCCATTGGCTAGAAGGGAATGATGTGTCCCACTCGAAGTGGGTGGCTGGCAAGGAGCCTGGAATTGCCATCTTTCCCTCTGTTAAACCCAGATCCACCCTGTGGGCCTGGGGTAGGGCTGTCCTTACACAAAGCACAAGACTGAAAACAGGGAGATTCCAGGGTAAAATCAGGTTGGCTCACAAAGGAAAAAGGGAGAGTGACTAATTATTGGGAGGAAAATCTCCAAGTGTCTCTCCCACTTTTGCCTGTCTTCTGAGTAAGAAGCATTGACAGCTTTGCTCATACCTTCCTTAAACGTGTATATAGCTAACAACCTTGGAAAATATAGATAGCATCTTCCTCTGGGACAGAGAGTAAATTTATTTCATGGCCAGAGTAATAAATATGTTTCTCTCTGGGGAAGAAATTGAGCAAGTTTTCTAGTAGCTATTTTAAAAGATTGGGGTTTCCTAAGTCCAGGGTCCCTCAGATGTGAAGCAAAGTTATTGCATGTACAGCATCCATCTGGGATGCCCTGCATTCCCCCGCAAGGAAAAGCAATGAGAACAGGAAGCTCAGGCTACCTGCTGTGTTGTGAGTAAAGAAGTCCTTTGTCTCTGACCCAGGAGTTTCATGTCTTCTGCCGGCATCACTGAACTATGGCCATGTTAAACTAGGGTTCTGCCAGCATCATCAAACCATGGCTAACTTGTTAGCCTGCAAGTGGGGTAAAGTCCTTTCCCAGTTCTTGACACTCATGGCAAGGCAACCATTCATGTTTGGCACACTGTTCTTTCCAATGAGCCAGGCTATATGCATCCAATTCTCAAATAGTTATTTCTGGAAATCAGAATTTGTTCGGCATATAAGAAATTCCTTTTCCACAGGCAGAAATAGGGCAACACTTCAGTCTCCAACTGGAGACACACATTTAGCGAGGGTGGTGTCATTGGATTGAGTGTCTTTTATGCTGTCTCCCTTTTACTCGTTCACTGACTCTCTCTATAATTATCTCTTTTAAAATGTCAGTTGCTCTCACCCAGAAGACCAAGAGCAATCAGCCACAAACGGAACTTAGACTCTTTTAAAACACACTGGCTGTCTGACTGGGGGATGGGATTTCTCAAAGGCTTCCCACAGCAATGTCAAGGAAGCTGACATTGAGTGGCTGAGAAAAAGGGGGCCTTTTTGTGGCTCTCACACTGGGTCTTAGAGACCCTTCCTGAGGAAGCAACAGAAGGGGTGTGGAAGGTGTTAACTTCGTAAATATTTCTCCAGCAGAGCCTGAATGGAGGCTCTTGAGGAAGTAAGTTTCTCTTGGGGCCTTTGGCCTTGCGTCCTTCTCACTGCGTCCTGTGAGGGTGAGAGGCTCTGAGCTACGGCATGGTCCCGGCAACTTTCTTCCCTTCTCTACAATAAAGTATTGATGTTAAGATGATGGTGAAGAAATAGGGGATCTATTGGGATAAGCAAAGAGAAAAGTGTGGATATTTTCTAGCAACTGCTTGCACTCAGAGTTTCTCCAAGTAGTGACAATTTGATGACCTGGACATGAATTCATCATAGCAATAGGAGAATAGCAGAGGAAGTTAGAGCAGCATTTATCCCTAGGAGTCAAACCTTAGGGTTAAACTCAATTTATCCCTAAATTCTATTTCCTTGATGGCAGTTGATGCCTTTAAAATGAAACCATTTTCCTACTTAGCCAAGGAACCCTCATTCTCTTGCTGTTCTAGCAACTTACATTTTAAAAATCCTTCTGCTAAATACAGTGCTATGAGAACAGAATAGATTTAATCTGAAACCAAGGCTACTTTTCCCTCATCTGCTGCATCGGAACTACAGAGAAGGATCACACAGCTTGTGGGTCATATTATCGTCTTCCTGCATTCTGATCATGTTTCCATGGAAGCCTTGATGGAGGTCACTGGTCTGCAAGTTAAATCCATTCCCAATGACCCCTGGAGGCAGGGGCTTCTCATTTAGATGAGATATTTTACTCAAGTGCATGTCGAATCACCACAGGTGTCAAAATGAAAGTTCTCTCGCTAATAACATGAAGGATCAAATTTCCTTGGTACAATCAGGTTGATTAAATTGAGCTCTGTGTTTAAGGTCCCTATAGCTCAATAAAGTTAATGCAGCTTTCCAAGGGGCCCAACACGGAGGCAGGGAGCAGTCTAGGTCCTGAGAGAATCTGGCCCACTGTGGTTTTTAAATTAGAAGTTTGATTGCTTGTGACACTGTCTCAAACTGGTACCAGCCAAAAGAAGCTGAATTTTCCATTAGCCCAGGAAAAAATGACAGATATTTAATTAAACTGCTTAGAGATTAGGTAGAAGGCTTATTGATGGATAGAGGGGCTGAGTATCTTTATAAGCAAAGTTAGGAAATTCACTGCTGTGCCACATCTTTAATGTTAAAAATAATTCACCCAGCTTAAGGGAGCTGAAGATGTGTATCCTGCTTCAGCATGAAGCTGCCTCTGCTGTCAATCACAAGAAAAAATATACATTTTAAAAGCTTGTTTATAAACTACTAGGTGGTCACTGAGGAACTTGACATAAAACGTAAAATGTGAAATAAGAAAGTTACTTATAGCTAAACTTAATAAAGTAATCAATCCATCTGCCAATTGTTGAGAGGTGACTTACTGCAGGAAAGGTTGATTTGGAGGTGATCTCTTAGAAAAAAAGAATAATTTCTGGTCAGTGCTAGAGGGTAGGTTACCAGAAGGAGCCCACATTCCAGATGGGGAATAACCAAGGTTTGCAACAGATGATGTACAACAATTTCTGATTATTCTTCCGAACTATTGTGTTACTTTTTGGGTAGCCACAGGTGGTTGAAAAATGTAGGTCACCTTCATTGCATCAACAATTTCAGTAGAGTATAAAGATCAATAAAATACAGTTTCACAAAGTCCCCTAAAGCAGTGGCTATGTATTAACATTTCCTGGGGAGTTTAAAAAAAATACTAATGCCAACTCTGGGCTAACTGAGTCAAAATCTCTAGACACATTTCAGGAGATCTCCAGGTGACTATGAATCACTTCCCAAGGAGCTACTGAAAAGGTAAATTGTATGTGGAATTAAAAGATCTCAAGCTCTGAAATCTGGCAAACCTTGGTTCAGTTCCTGACTCCGCTAACTTACCTAATCTAAGACACTCAACATATGCTAACTTCTCCAGACTTCAGTTTCCTTATCTGGAGAAGGTCAGTGATGGTCACATCTTGGAAGGTTTCTAAGGGAATAAATGCATACCTGGCACATAGGCCCCAATACACATGTATTTTCCTCCCCTTGGTTATTAATGGTTAATGATTGACGTTTATCCTTCCTCCACTGATTTTGCCATCGACCTTTGTAGGAAGTAACAGGCTCAGATGAGTTTTTCTCTTCCTGCTTAGGTTGTCTTCTAGAATTTACTGCTATTTGGTCTATGGGAGAAAAATACTCATGTCTTTCATGCTTTCTGCTCCTCCAGCTGCCACAGAAGTGTCCTTTTCATTTGATGTGGGAAATGGGCCAGTAGAGATTGTAGTGAGGTCACCGACACCTCTCAACGATGACCAGTGGCACCGGGTCACTGCAGAGAGGAACGTCAAGCAGGCCAGCCTGCAGGTGGACCGGCTGCCCCAGCAGATCCGCAAGGCCCCAACAGAAGGCCATACCCGCCTGGAACTCTACAGCCAGCTATTTGTTGGTAAGTACTGGAAAGGAACCATGACTTCCCTCTGTTGATTTTTAAGAGCCTACACAGTGCAAAAAAATAAAAATCAGCCTATGCAAAGTTTTGATAGCGATCCCTCCAAAAGTATGTTGGCCTCTTGTAGTCTCCTTTATGACAAAATGGTACAAGGAAGAAGGTTCAGGAGACCTGGATCTCATTCCACTTCCCCTCCTGGGAGCTCACTGTCCTCGGCTATAAAATCAGAGTGCAGGCTGAAATACGTCTCAGGTCTCTCTGATATCTGCAATTTTAGGTTTATGGTTTTAGAAGTATGTAAAGGTATTTGATCATTTAGGGCACTTGTAACTGTGAGGAAGAAAGAAAGGAGGGAGGGAGGGAATGGGCCAAGCAGATTTTTTTTGAAATGATACATTTGAAGCCATTCCTTTCTTGCCTATTCTCAAGGTTCTAGGCAGGGAAAGATTTAGACTTTTCCTGACACAGGAAAAAAGGTCAGTACAAAGAAGAAATTTCAACAGAGGAAAAAGTGAAACTACCTATGCAAAAGGTGGATCCAGCCACCCAGTCTAATCTTTTTCACCAATCTTTTTGCTGTTGACATATTTCAGATGAACCTAAAATAACTTCAAATTCATACCCGTTTCCCATGGCTAGCTGAATTTTAAATTTTGTTTTCGAGAATATTCATAGGTTAGGAAATTAGCAACTTTTCCTCTGCTGAATGAAAAAAAAAAAAAAAGAAGTGAGTTTAAAGGACTTTGTGGGTATATCATCTTAGACCCCTCTGTAGGCTTCTGGAAATAATTGATCAGTGCAGTCAACTGTGGAAGCCTCCGACGAAGCAAGACAAGAGTGTGACCTGGTGGCCGTTCCTATTCATAACGTCTGCTGCTTGGGCTCCACCCTCCGTTAGAGCCTCACTGAGAGCCAGTTAATTTTAACAAGCGGCAGAGTCTCCACAGTGTCTTTCGCAGTTGTGTTGGGATGCTCGAAGAGCAGTGGAATGTCATTAAAGGGAAGGTAAAATTAGATCTCCCTTCATTTTGCGTGATGTCAGCAAACCACATAGCGAAGGTGTGAGTCAATGAGCTTTGAAAGTGAGAATGACTTTCAACAACCACATCAGCTGGGGCTATGAAAGAGTCATGGATTTAGAAATAAAGTATTTCCTAATTATGACTGGAAAGCTACCCTTTCCAAATCCTTCCCTCAAGTTATAGATCACAAAATTACACGTTATTTTTTAATTAGCTAAATAGTAGGTCCATTGATCCCCGCTGAACACAGTAAACAAATTTCACTTCATCAGCATCTGTTGCCCAGATTACCTAGGACAAGATTCTTCCTACATACTGTTAATTCCAAATATACTGGGTAACTTCTATTTGGTTTTCATCATAACAAGTGACCCTACTTGACTCAGTTCCTTGTTTTTTTCACCTTGCCCCTGGGTATAGAAGTTCAACTTTAGTTTTATCCCTTTCTGTTGGGTAACTGTGACTGCATGCAGGAATTCTGAAGATGTGGTAAGGTTGTAAAATGAAGAGATGGAAGAGTATTTATTATGACCTTGGAAGGAACATCAATTCACTTAAAGAAAGTGACCCAAGAATAACTTATAAAAAAATGAGCAGGGATATGAGAACAGAGTTCTACAGAACCATGAAATTTAATATCCCAGGAAAAGAATATCCCAGGAAGAATGAAGAAGAATAGAAAGAATGCGGGAAGGAAAATTAGGAAAGGGTAACATCACGGGAGGGGAGGATTTTATTTAAAAGGTAATGGCAAATAATATCAAGCCATTGATATGATTTTACTCAATAATAAGGCTGTAAAATAAGGCTGGAATAGTGTGTGCATGTGTGTGCGTGCGTGTGTGTGTGTGTGTGTGTGTGTGTGTGTGTTGAGATGGAATCTCACTCTGTGGCCCAGGCTGGAGTGCAATGGCATGATCTCAACTCATGACTCACTGCAACCTCTACCTCCCGGGTTCAGGTGATTCTCCTGAGCAGCTAGGATTACAGGTGCCCACCACCATACCCAGCTAATTTTTGTCTTTTTAGTACAGAAGGGCTTTCACCATGTTGACCAGGCTGATCTTAAACTCCTGATCTCAGGTGATCTGCTTTCCTTGGCCTTCCAAAGTGCTGGAATTACAGGTGTGAGCCACTGTGCCCAGCCTGTGTTTTCTAAATTTAGTAATTGTAAAACCATTAGTGATCACAGAAAGGGAAATTTCAGAGCAGTAAGCTGATGGGCTTAGTCAGCAATTTCTGACTAGAAAATAGTACGTCTCTAGTTCCAGTTTCTAATTCTCTGTCTCTTTAAAGGGTGGGGGGCATAAGGTATATCTCCCAGATATGAGCTATTTGGACCAATTTGTGAAATATTGTTCAGTAATAGAAGTCTACCCCAGGGGCAGTGAGAGGGGTTGTTACAAAATTAAAAAAAAAAAAAAAAAAAAAAAAAAAAAAAAAACAGAGTCCAAGCATGGTGGCTCACTCCTGTAATCCCAGAACTTTGGGAGATGGGCGGATCACAAGGTCAGGAGTTCAAGACCAGCTTAGCCAACATGTTGAAACCCCGTCTCTGGACGTGGTGGTGCATGCCTGTAATCTCAGCTACTCAGGAGGCTGAGGCAGGAGAATTACTTGAACACAGGAGGTGGGACAGTGAGCCAAGATCACGTCATTGCACTCCAGCCTGGGGAACAGAGCAAGACTCTGCCTCAGAAAAAAAAATTAAAACTAACACATAGTTTAACAGCTATGAATTTCTAGAGCCACTAATCCCTAAATTATTCAGTAAGAATTTAGGCTCTTGGGTGTTAGTCTCAGTTCACCTCTAATATAAAAGCTTTTTCTTGACCAAGTATCACCATTTTCCCTCTGTGAGTATCTTTTATTTGTATGTATTTTTTTAAGATAGAGTCTTGTTCTGTTGCCCAGGCTGGAGTACGGTGGCGTGATTGTGGCTTACTGCAGCCTCAACCTCCCAGGCTCAAGGGATCCTCCCACCTCAGCCCCCAGGTAGCTGGGACTATAGGGTCATGTCACTATGCCTGGCTAATTATTATTTGTTTATTTTTATTTTTTGTGGAGTTGAGGTCTCCCTATGTGGCCCAGACTGATCTCGAACTCCTGGGCTCAAGTGATGCTCCCACTTCAGCCTCCCAAAGTGCTGGGATTATAGGCACGAGCCACCATTGCCTGGCCTCTTCCAGTATTAGACATTTTTGATCATGTGCTTAGGAATGCGTGAACAGGACCAGGGCTGTCAAGAGGTCAGCCTTCCCACAGTGGTGTGTGGTTAACAATATGGTCTTTGACTACCACCTCTGTGTCTTGCCAACTCAGAAACAACTGACATATTGCTTAATATTTCTGTGCTAAATAGGAACACTGCTCCTACCACAGAGTATTAAATGAGATATTCCATGCTAAGCACTCAAGAGAGTACCTGGCCCAGGGTCCGTAATTCTAATCTCATCGTCTTTCATTGGTTTTACAAAGGTGGTTTCAATCTTCTAACAGGGAGGGGACCAGTTTTTGGGAGGGGCCATTATCATCCTTGCTTTCAAGCTCAACTCTAAACCAAATACCTCCCGTGGTTCGTTCAGCCTGACTCGTGCCCCGGAATGAGCAAGGACAGCCAGGCCGTAAGGCTAGAAGCAGGATGGAGTGAGCCATGCTGGACTTCTCTTGCTGTCATAATCTTTGCAAAGGCGATGTCATTAGCAAGGCTGGGCTCACATGTGCTTTTGCGAAGTAACGGAAAAAAACAGAGAAGACACAGTTCTCCTCACTGTACATCTGAAAATAATTAGAAGCTGTCATCCCAAAAGGGTTAACACAGGTCTTTTGGAAGTTATAAGACTCTAAAGATGATTCTGGTTTAATCAAAAAGTAACAAATACATTTAAAAATTAAGAGACACAGAAAAAAGCACTTGCTGGTATTTGTCTGAAAGTGCAGGAAACTTTTCCCCTTCTTGGATCTAAAATGAGTGGCTAGCATATGACGAGCTCCCTGGATGGCCCAGCAGAAGCACTGAAGCCACATGGTGACCCGAAGCCTCAGCCAGCCCAGGTGCTGACCTGAGCTGTCTGTGGGCCAGATTTTTCTTAGGAGGTGGTGAAAGCAAACAAGCTGGTGGTCATTGTCTACGCATGAATGACACCAGACTGGATTGAGCAAAGCCCTCTTTGGCAGAGACATACAGGAATTTGGAGTCCTGACAGCTGTTAACAGTGGCAGGACTGGGAGGAAGCAAGGTATCTGCTGGGCCCCCAGCCTGGGAGCCTGGCTACCAGCCCAGGGCATGGCCAGGAGCTGGCAAGAGACCATCGCAGCAGGGAGCCAAGCAGCCTGTTCAGGTCAGGGGGCTAGGATAGGGTTAGCATGCAGCAAGTGAGACGCTAGACAGACCATGCCATTGCTCTTGGCAGTCATTGAGGGAGGAGATCAGAATTAGAAGGCTGCTTCAGACAGCTTCAGGAAGAAGTCAAGCTCCTAAGTGGCTCCTTGAGAGAGGTTAGGTCATCTTAAGTCATGACAAAGGTCCACGTGCAACTCACTTGGCTCTGGCCTCTTTTGAAATCTCTCCAGAGGCTAAAGGGAACTATCTTTTGTGCAAGCTGTGGACACAAAGGAGTTGAAAAATCACTCTCTATGCTTCAAGTTATTTTGCGTTGGTCAGAAAGCCCAACTGAGACTCCATGGAAGATGTGCTGTCTTTAGGAGAACTCAGAGACTCCCTGAGAGCAGAGAAGCCCGCAGCCTCCTCTTCCTCTGACAGCTGGTCTGTCGGGAGACTTTTCTTTCCTGGGTGGCAACCTGAGTTTATGGAGGAGTTGAGGTTTATTAAATGGATGTATAAGCAACTAGGGACTGAAATGTTGCAACCATTCTGAGTCCAGCCTTCCCCAACTCTAAAATATAGTTTGTTTGGTCAGCTGCTCCTCAGACTTTTTGTATTCCAAAATCACAAATGGATCATTGCAGTGCCAT